ATAATATTAACGTCAGTACATACTTGCATTAAAAACATTCCGAGTTTCCGAGGTGGCCAACAGTTCCTCAAAACTCTGTGTATATCTAGATAAAGGGCTTTGACTATTTTGGAGAGGAGGGGTGGGGAGGAATTAAGGAAAAACATGTGTAAGAATCAGGTTGTAAGCAATAAGTACGTCAATGAAAAAATAAGTTATAAAAATGTAGGAGAATAAAAGATTTCTAAATAAAATCTAGCATCAAACTTAACTCCATCCCATTATTCTGCCTTTACGGCGCTTTAATTAACATATTCTCGTTAAGCTTTATGGGGAACTTATCCAAATCTGTCTTGTCCTCTTCTTCGCTACTGCCTCTATTGTTGTCGTCGTCAAGTGCTTTTAATATATCGTGGTCTTTAACCATGGTGGCCTTAAGATCTAATTTACTCTCATTTTTAGGAAAAGCAGCTTTGCGTAGGATCGAAGCACTTTCTGGGTTATCCCGTGCATATCCAGTCGCATTACCTGATTTACGTACAAAAGCTGCACCTGCGCCTTCAGAAAAGACGCCAATAGTTTGGATAAAAGACCCACCGCCTCGATTCGCAGGAGCTCCTCTTTCCGATTCTCTCTCTTACCCCCCGCGTTCGCGTGCTGTAATGTCTTTTGACCCCTTAGCATTGCTTTAAATTATAAAATGAGAAGACCTTGTATTTGTTAAGTTCTTGGTCCTTTTTTTTATCCGAATTTCGAAAAAGACCAGAACTTACGCAATTTTATTCCTTACGGCCTTTAGATTAGGCAAAAATACTTTTCTAGCACCGGTGGTCGAATCGCGACCACCTAATTTTTCAACCGATTTGTCATTGGGAAAATCAAACTTCTTTCCTGTTGTTGTATATATTAATTTATATCATTTATATTTAAATATATATAAAATAAATAGCTTTATTTATATAATAGCTTTATTATACATCATTTAAAATACTTTATTAAAATATATAAAAATATATATAAAAGAAATTGTTATTCATTTCAATGGTTTCCTGATTGTTTCCGATTCGTTTTCCTTGACTTGGTCGCTTCTGCTCTTTTATCATCTCCACTACATTTACTATTTAAGTTGTTAAGTTAATTTGTTAAGTTGGGCTTTTAACCATTTAACAGAGCTGCCATTTTTAGACTATTTTTTTACATGTAACTCTGTACTTTGCCTTTTAACAGGGAATTTAGCGAGGGCTTTGTTTAAAAATTATGGCGGTCTAATTTTAGGCTAACTTGTAAAATTGAAGAAATTAAGAAATTTTATATGGAAACATAGATTTATTTAAAAAAATATTGTAAAATTGAAGAAATTAAGAAATTTTATATGAAAGCATAGATTAATTAATAAAAAATAAAGAAACATTAGATACTAAATATCGTAAAGTTTTCGCTTTCACTACTTACCTTTCACTACTTTTCTTTTCCTTTTCCTTTGTTTTGCCGACGGCTTTGCATTTTAACAGAGTTGGACCTTTGTTTTCTGTTAAGTTAGCCTAAAAGTAGACCGCCATAATTTTTTTTTTTATTATCAAATTAAACAAAACAGTAGCTAAATTTTCTACTATTTACAGAGCGAACGTAATACTCTATGCTAATTTACAGAAAGAATGTAATACTCTATGCTATTTACAGAGCGAACATAATACTCAATGCTAATTACAGAAAGAACGTAATACTCTATGGTAATTGCAAAGCCGTCGGCAAAAGTCCCCAATTTGTTCCTGTTTCCTTTGTTCCTCAGCACCATTGCGAAAGACCTTGCCATCTTCATAATAATAATTTAAAACAACGCAGACAAATAATACATAACACATAATACAAATCCAATTAGAAGAATCGCTGTGTTGTGTAAAAAAGGTTCATTTCGAACACGAACTTCTTTGTTTAAGTAAGTGAATAAGTAACGAAAGAGAGAAAGAATATAATGGAATTAAACACAATACAAAAACCCAAACACAGGGACAACAACGAGCTAAACTGCTTGCGCTGAAAACTAGTTTTTATTGTCACTAATAGTTTTCTCCCAGCAACGCCAGGTGGCGGTGTCAGTTAAGGATATGTATGATCACAGACACAGTGATATGCTATTCCTGTTTTTCGGACTAATAATGAGGCCCCAGGTGGTAAACAAAATGAGTGTTGCCGTATTATTTAATAAGAAACAAGTTATTATATTATACACGGTCTTGACCGAAGCTTTTATGCCCACCACCGTTACCCTAGAGAAAGTTAAAAAAAAAAGAAGAAAACAACTAAATTTTCATACGCTATAGCATTGAGAGGGCGCGGCTGTAACAAACAAAAAAATATGAAAAATTAAGGTGGTCACAATTTTTGTTACATTAGCGTGTGGGTGTGTTCTTTGAAATGTTTGGCTCCTTGTCAAACTCTCCTGGAATTTTGTAAACTATACCTTCATTTCTCGCGAATGGAGGAGTGTGTTTATCACATATGCAATACGGGCAGGTGGACGAGCAACCAAACGAATCTACTTAGACGCATTTCAACTTTGAAACTGGCGGAGCATTTCTATAACTTGTGAGGTTTTTGGGCAAATTTTCTCCTTCTACACCATCGCCCATAGGTTTACCTGCTGTGGCTTGTCATTAGTAAGCCAAAAGCCATATTTTAGTTCCTCATGAACAAGTAAGCGGTGTTCTCAGTTTCGTTCGATTTAGAATTTGGTGCTGATCTCTGAAGCTTCTTTCTAGGCGGCGTCGCCAACGTTTTGAGTAAATGAATATACTCCCTAATGTACATATAAACAAAAACATATGGCTTAAGAAATAAAATTAAAGAAATCAACATAAATGTAAGCAACAACAACAAGTGTATGAAAAACAACGATAAGAAAATTAATATGAAAGCAAATTCAAATTTTTGTTTGATTAAAGCAATAGAGTATGAAGAAAAATGAATTTAAAAGAGAAAGCGCAGAAGCGAGCTTTATTGACGCAGGTAAAACAAAGCAAAAGAACGAACGACTTATTTGTTTTGATTGAAAACAAAATAAAATTTTATATCGCATAACATAAAAGCGTTTATATTAGTGTAAGACAAACATAAATTAGATAAATAATTTCTAGATTTAAAATAAATTATCTTAATTTCTTCTTGTGCATTGTTTCCTCTCTGTTCTATTTGTATGTATACATGCGAAATCATATGATTTGTCAATTCCCATAAAGTTTAGTGTCAACCTGAAAATAATGAAATAATGCCTCATCGTGCCAGGCCCCTTTATGATGGTAAAGGGCTCTGGCGCAGTGAGCCCGCGCTTTTTCTTCAAACCTGCGAATAAACGTTGAACATGTGTTAAGCTGTGCAAACCATCCTTTTCATCGTAGGATCTAGCTAACTTAATATTAATATTTCAAATGTAATTCATTTTTTGAAATGTTAAGGAGAATTTTATTATTTTATGATTATTCACTTGCAAGTCATTGATAACAACACAAAAGAAAAAAAGGACAAAAAATACCAACGATTACTGGAAAAGGGTCTTCAGTTTCAGAAAATCTTCCACACAACTTTTCTGTTTTATAAAAAGCAGGATTAAAGAACAACCAAGTTTCGAAGGCTCCTGTGATTTGCAAAGTATACTGCATGTTTACACCTTTCCCTTTCCTTCTAGCTGCTCATTTGGGGATATTAAATGAAGAAAAACCGAAAGTTATTTGTTACATCAGCGAGTACTTGTTCAGGTTTTACAATATTAATAAGTTTGGAATACTTTATCTAACGTATTGAAAATGCATATATATTTAGAAGATAAACTAGCGAGTTTTCTTGTTTTACATTAAATTTTTGAAATACTTTCAGTTAAAGCGCTAACTGCTTTTGGGTATTTTCTTGTCCGTAGCAACTTATCTTAACAATATGTTAGGATGTCAAGTGTAACTAAGTGATCAGTGTTCTACTTATATCTTCTTTTTTTCTTTTATTTATGTGCGATTAAAAAGCTTAAATTTTAAGTTTTACGGGTTATATGCAAGTAGCTTCAAGCACATATTAACGGCTTTGTTTAATCTCTTCCGTTCGTAGTAAACATGATCAACACAGCAACAACCCACCGATTCCAAAAACAAACCCGTTTAGCCTCTAGAAAATCTGTATCCATGTATTTATTTTCCTAACTCCTTTCTCCACGCAACTCTTTTTTTACACGGTGGATAAGTTTTTTAAAAAAACTTGTGAAAAAAATACAGGCAACATATGGTAAATTTGGCGATGTTCCACAACTTGCAAAAATTGGGTAAGATGAAAGAGGTCGAAATATATTCTCACAATACCGTACAAAAAAAAGCGTTAATTAAAACCATATAGAAAAAAAAAAACATTAAACTTAGTATATGGTAAAAATTCAGTCGATAAGTGCAACATATATCAAAATTTAAATTGAAATTAGGAATAAATATTAATTTCGTAACAAGTCATTCTTACCTAATAACGAGCATGCACGTTTTTACGGACCGGGCCAAAAATGCTATCATCAGAAAATACATCAGTCTACCGCAAATGTCCGGTGCCATTTAAATAAAGCATTTCGCTTCATATCAACAGCCTCTCTTGATTTGTTTGTTGCTATAAAGTTTGACATATGAAGCAATTTTTTTTGTTTCTTAAATTTCAGAAGAAGAATTTTATGCAAAAAACTGCATTTGTTCTTATTGGTGAACCGCTTTATTTCAAAATTGGGCTAATAATAATAAAATCAATTAGGATTTGGAAAATTATTTTCTATCAAAAATTACCACATCGTCATAATGTAAAAACAATTGGTCCAGACACTACCTTTAATGAGAATGGAATGTGAGAAATGCAACTATGTATTGTGTACATATATAATACAACACTGTCTTTCATTGAATATTAAGAATTGCCTAGTGTATGCGCGCGTGTGTGTATATATATATATATATATATATAAATTGTGTCTGTGAATGGTGTGTGTGTGCATACGTGCATGTGTGTGTGTGTGTGTGTGTGTGCGTGTGGTAAGGAAACTTAGCAATAAGAAGAGCAGACAAGAATTATTTTTCTTCAGCGAGAATATTAATAAAATAGATTTTAATTAATTGCGGATATAATTGTATAATAAGTTGAATTAATAAATATTTAATAATTTCAACGAAAATCAGTTTATTTTGAAATCAAAGAAAATTGGTTGCGTTTGCAGCAAAAGTTTAGACCGACGACGGACGACGTAAAAAGATGGCGACTAGCCGTACAAGTCGCATTCAACAATCGAAAAATATTAGTTCAATTTTTTCTAAACTTCACGGAGCATTTTCGGAAGCATGCGGTCCACAGAGGTTATCAACCGACAAAAAGACTTTAGAGAAGACATGGAAATTAATGGATAAAGTTGTGAAATTATGCCAGCAACCGAAAATGAATTTAAAAAATAGTCCACCCTTCATTCTTGACATTCTGCCGGATACGTATCAAAGGCTTCGTCTCATTTATTCCAAGAATGAAGACCAAATGCATGTTCTACATGCAAATGAACATTTCAATGTGTTTATTAATAATTTAATGAGAAAGTGCAAGCAAGCGATTAAATTATTTAAAGAGGGAAAGGAGAAAATGTTTGATGAAAATTCGTACTATCGTCGAAATCTAACTAAATTAAGTTTGGTATTTTCACATATGTTAAGCGAATTGAAAGCGATATTTCCGCACGGAGTATTTGCTGGCGATCAATTTCGAATTACCAAAGCCGATGCAGCTGATTTTTGGAAGTCAAATTTTGGCAATAGGTATATAAATAACGATTATACATTTCAATTATTATTTTAATGGAATAAAATTTGTGGAAAATACCTTTGAAAATTTAGCACTCTGGTGCCTTGGAAGATATTTCGTCAGGAATTGAACAAAGTTCATCCTATATCATCGGGCCTCGAAGCTATGGCCCTAAAGACTACCATTGATTTGACTTGTAACGATTACATTTCAAATTTTGAATTTGACGTGTTTACGCGTCTATTTCAGCCTTGGGCGACGCTTTTAAGAAATTGGCAAATATTAGCCGTCACTCATCCCGGTTATGTGGCGTTTTTAACGTACGATGAAGTCAAGGCTAGGTTACAACGTTACATACACAAGGCCGGAAGCTACGTTTTTAGGTATGAATCAAATTTAATATGTAACAATTTTTTTCTTTATGGATGCTCTTTATTGATGCGTATACATAATAGATTGTCGTGTACACGTTTGGGACAATGGGCCATTGGTTATGTTACAGCAGACGGTGAAATTTTACAAACCATACCACAAAATAAGTCGCTATGTCAAGCTTTGCTAGACGGTCATAGGTGAGCATATCATTTGTGAAAACTTTCGGCTATTTATCTGAAATTGTAATGAATGGTGTGTCTGTGCGTTGTTTTGATTTTAGAGAGGGCTTTTACTTGTATCCCGACGGTCAAGCCTACAATCCCGATTTATCTTCTGCTGTACAAAGTCCTACTGAGGATCATATAACCGTAACACAAGAGCAATACGAGTTATACTGTGAAATGGGTAAACGATTGTTACCTTCTAAACGCTTTAGTCGAAACAGAAAAAAAACAAAAAGATTTGTCTTTAAATTTTATTTGCAGGAAGTACTTTTCAACTTTGTAAAATATGTGCCGAAAATGATAAGGATATACGTATTGAACCGTGCGGCCATCTCTTATGTACACCCTGTCTTACCTCATGGCAAGTGGATTCCGAGGGCCAGGTACTATAATATTTTTTGCTAAATATATACAAACGTTTCTTTTAACTTCAATTCGGAATGTACAACTTTCCAGGGTTGTCCGTTTTGTCGGGCAGAAATCAAGGGAACAGAACAAATTGTAGTGGATGCGTTCGATCCACGTAAGCAACACAACCGGATTACAACAAATGGCCGTCCTCAGAATAACGATGACGACGATACTGAGGTATAGTTAAGTTGATTCTCTTTATGAAAGTATTCTAAACATTTATCATTGATTTATAAACCGATTAAAATCAAAAGCGTTAACGATCTTCATGTCAAGTTCATTTCCTAGCAAACAAGTTACCTATGCCTACCTAATCATTACGCAAAGCAAAAAAAGTTTGCATTTATATTAGATATATACATTTATAAAAAAAAAAAAAAAGCAGAAAAACACTGAAACAGTTGGCATGTTTTTGGCATGATTAGCTTGAATTTAAAAAAAGAAAAAATATATATTTTTTTTTTTTTTTTTAGTTAATCTATAAATTATTTAGCTCTGTTTAAAAAGGTCGTTTAACGCCTAATTTTGTCCAAATGTTTTAAAAAGGCTATTTTTTTCTTGTAAATAGCATTACTATCTATCTACAAATTTATGTTAAATATAATTTTTGTCTTATTATTTAATAGTTGTGAAAAAAAAAAACAAAACAAAAAAAAACAAACCCTTTATAATTATGATAAAAGAAAACAAATATTTATATACATATATTTAAATATATTTTAAACTTTTCTTTCATTTTACTATTTCCTCTCTATTTGTCTAGTTCTTCTTCTTCTTCTTCTTAGTATGTTGTAATTGTGTATAACTTTTTGGCACCATCACCATTTCTACTCGATTCTCCCTTTCTTTTAATATCTTTTTCACTTTTCTTTCAATGTTGTTTTTGTTTAGATAATAATTTGATGTAAACGTTTTGTTTTTAGTTAACTATTATGAATATGAATAGCTACAATATGTATGTACGCGTACTTACATATATATATATATATATTTATATATATTTATATATATAATAACGCACATATTACTTTAACAGTTATTTAAAACATTGAACATAACAAACAATCAAAATTAATCTTCAATCACACGAATTTCTCCATAAAAAACAAAAAAAAAAAAAAAAAAATAACGATAATAATATTATTCATAACTTAAGCTAGAAACTGTTATGTAAACAGAAAAATTTGAGCAACAGTTTCTTTTAAGGAAGAAGCGTTGAAGACTTTTCTTGTATATATTTAAAAAAAAAAAGAATGAAAAAAGAACAAAAAATTTCAACTCGTATTTCAACTCACACGGCCATTACATTCACTTCAATGATAAGTGAGTAGAATTCTTTCACGAGTTTAATTAAAAAATCTATTCTAACGAATGCTGCTTAACTCCTTGAGGCATTCACGGAATTTAAACAAAGTCACCATTAATTATAAAATACAAAAAAGTAAAAAAAGCGACGTTCAAGTAAATTGTTCATTTTCTTTAAAATTGGTTGCCTCAACGATTTAATTTTTACGCCCTTTCGATACACGTAAAGGAAAAAAAGAAAACGAGAGAAGAAAAATATGATTACGAAGAACAATATTAATAATTTTATAACAAACCGTTTACTTGACGGTTTTAAAAAATATTGTTTATCTGCATTTTCCCAAAGATATTAAATTTTAGGAATTTAGTACATTTATTTAGTATAAAATATTAACGCATATTTAATACATTTATTTAATACAATATTTACGTAGGCTTAGAAATATTCTTCTTTTTTTTTTATTCATACATTATTTTATTTGTAAAAGTGTATGAGTTTTAATGCATGGCTTAACATACATATACATAAACGTCAAAAGTAAATAAATTTGTATAAATGTCATAACATATCGTACGGCGATACATATGGCTAAAAAGATTCAATCCTAATAAGACAAAAATGTCAAATATTTCGATATTCGAAAAATCTTTTCATTTATTTAGTTCAATTGATTTATGTCTCGAGGACACATTTAAAAGACTGTATTTTATATATATATATATATATATATATATATATATATGTATATATATATATATATGTATATATAAGTTGTATTTTTTAATAAACCAATAGTAAGAGAAAATCGTAAAACTAAAGAGAGCTTAGATCGAATCTTTATTAACTCACCATCTAAGTAAGCATTTGTAAGAAAGCAGAAATAGATCCGAATAATGATTTGAACTAATCCTCATAATTACTTGAAAATATTTTGTTACGTTTAGTTTGAGTTGTTCTACCCGCAGTGGTCGCAAAGACTACATATTGGCTTACATCTGAGGGTCATTGCTATAACAAAAACACTTACTAACGATTTGCTTAATCCTATGAAAAAAGGCGAAAGCTTATTGGGAGTCTCGAAGTACCGATCATTATCTGGAAAAATTCATTAAATTGTTGTGAAAGAAGTATAAAACTCAATCGGCACAGTGGCTTCTCCTCGTACAGTATTATAACTTCCCAACTTGTCTCATCCAGGCCCTGTTCCATATGTTGTATAAAACGGGATTTTTGTGATCAAATAACACAGAACTTTTTGTGAGAAACATTAAAACTTCGCATGGCCCCTACCATCTTTCAATTAATACGTGTAAGTTGTGCCTTCTCCTCAGTTGCATTTGGAAACTTAAAATTCTACATTTCTTTACTATCTACACAATTCTACTCCGATTTCGAATACGAACGGTTTTAAGTGAATTTGATGCGAGAGTGTTTTACTTAGTTATTCTGCTCTCAGTCATTTCCTGGGATTGATTTACGGTTCTCGTTATCGAGCGATGCGATTGATCGCGTTTAGTTTCTGGGTCGTTCGTATTTACAATGTAATATTTATGTTATTGTCCGTGCAAGTCTAAAAAAATAACGCAAAGAAGAGGAAGAAAAGTAAATAAATAAATATTAAGTGTTTGCAAAAATTCTGATCACTTTTTCGCTTGAAAAAGACATTTATTGCGCAAAATTGGCTCAATATATATTAATCAGAATAGTTTTCATCATTTTCTGAAACATTTTCAAAACATGTTTGGCAGCGATCCACCCACCGACCTATTTTCGCACTTCAACTATGCGGAGCCGCGTGCCAGCCAAGCCATACTGCACCAATCTGAACAAGTAGTAGTCTGGAGGTATTATGTCTAGTCAGCATGTTGGGTGTGGCAGGCCTTCCCATTCGAGCTGCAACATTGTATTCCGGACACATCTTACAAAAAGTAGCCAAAAATAGGCATTTTCAGTCAATTCGTATCGTCACTTTGAAACCGTTGATACCAAAGCTCGCATGTGGGACATGATCACGCAGCATCACCATAAGTCTCCGAATATATTCGGTAGCCTTCGGCAGCAAAAGTAATGAATTTGGAAGAAGGAGAAGAAATTTGATCGCTCCATGATTAACGGCTGCGTACGCTGAATACATCAATGATATTAAGTGAAAAATGTTACTTTATGCAGAGAAAGATCGCCACGATCTAATTCGGTCGCTGTGTATATTGGTATTTCCCCGATTTTGTTGATCAAAATTTTTGCAAACACCTAATATAAAACATTTGAAAAAATTAAAATTTCTTAAAGATGATCAAATGAAGAAAAGTTTACTAAATTTAATTAAATATATCGCTATTTACTTAAATTATCCATTTTTTTATTTTTTAATTTGTTTTTGTTCTTAATCGCTACCTTGGTATTTATTATTGCCTCCCTGCTCCACACTGCTTAAACAGCCTTTGAATATCACGTTCGCAGAATGATTTTTTAAAAAGTTTCTAGTGATCCTATAATACTACATTTCCGCCTTGCATAGTTCGCACAAATTCTTTCGCCAATTTCATATACACTTACTCCCTTTTATGTCATCAACAGATAAAATCATCGAAAAGTAATTATTAGATTTTATTATTTTTGCTTACCTCTCAGAGTTTTCTGAGATTATATAACCCTTCCATGTCAATTAGCTTTATCGCGATATTCGCGATAGTTGACTTCATTTTGCGTTTGAGCATGAAGCTTGACAGAGTGAAATGTGCAAACGGTCACACATTATCGAGTACCACCAACTCAATACTCGTTACTGAGAATCATCAAACCCCAAATACAAATTCGATATTGAATTCACTCGATAACGAGAACCGTGCACCAGGGCCTAGGCCTTGCCTTGCGATCAAATCATAACATTTTTAAAATAGTATCTGCATAGATTGCATGTTAGTTGTATGTTTCCTCTCGGCGGATCACATCAGTTTTAAGATCCAATTACAGATTTTTGATTGTTGGCGTTCTCCAACGGACAGATCCGACTAAATCGCTTGAGAAACTTAAGATCATTAAAGAGCTCTGAGCAATCTTTCGCAATAGAACTATTAAACCGAGTGGATCTTAACGCATCGCCAATAAGCGTAACGACGACCTCCGAAAAGTTAACTAATGTAATTTGAAAGCTTTATGTACATGCAATATAAAAATGTATACATAGCAGAGATTACGGCATCCGATTAGTTGAGTTGGTACTTCCCACATATTGCATTGCCGGGAAAGTTTTGTATTGTAATTTCCATTATTTGCAACCGCTCGTTGCCACCTTTCCGGTACCTTGTTGGTCTTCCTTGCGTAGAAGTGTAGATCCGCCGGAGCTGTTCCATGTGAATATGATGAGGGAATAAGAGTTTTCCAACCACGGCCACATAACTTTTGTAGCGTGACTATCATAGTATGTGGTTGTGCATTATCTTGATGGAACAGAATTCCTTTTCGGCTCGCTAATATTGGTTTGCTTTTTTTTTTTTTTTTTTTTTTTTTTTTATATGTTGTGTTTAATTTATCAAGCTGATTATTATAGGCGTTCGCATTGACGCTTTGCTCCCATTAAAGTAGCTCGTAGCACACTGGACATTTTCTATCCCAGCACAAACAGGGCATCACCTTCCGTTGATAAAAATTTGATTGTCCAATAGTTGCCGCAATTGGTTCGATGTTCCCAGTAAACCTTTTTACACCCACCACCGAAGAAAAGGGGTACATTCGTTTTGTCAAAACGTTTGCAACACCGCCCAGAAGTAAGCTTCAGAGACCCCACAAACTATATATATTCTTGATCAGTACTCATTTCTAAATCGATTTAAGCATGTTTGTCTGTCCGTCAGTGTAATGTCTCTTGCAA